ATGAATATTGTATTGTTTCAAAGCACTATATTTATTTGTATTCATGGCATGTATTATTGAAAAAGATTAATTCTTATCAACTTCATGCTTAGATTGAATTGGAAAAAAGATTCTTTAAGTAATAGAGAACAATGTTTAAGTAACTTATTCCAAATTAATATCTTGTAAATTTAGTAAAATACATTTTTTAAAAATGATTGTATTAATCGCAACTGTTGAAATTATGCTCTTTGAATTATTCGATATTCAATTATCTATATTATATTCTAAAAAGGCAGAAATTATGCAGATATTTGAAGTTGGTAAGCTCGAAATAAAAGGTATAACTTTCTATATGTTTCATGCATTTTATATATAAAGGCTTTATAACATGTATCGCTAGAATGTAGCATTATATATCTATAGATCTAAATAAAATCAGTCCGTTTCAGAATCAGAAACAGACTTCCCTTTCTTTTCAGCATCCCGTACCTCCGCATTGCCAAGTTCCCTAAAACAAAAAATGTAGCCGTATCCACACAGCTACGAGTGACACCATCTTCAAAAGAGTCTGCCCTTTCTTTTCTCTCTGATTCAGGCCATGGTATAGAACATTGCTAAAATATTTAAGAAACGAACTTTGTTAAATATTAAATATGATTAGATTCTTAGCAAAGCGGAAACCTGAAAATATATTATCTGAAGTCGACTTTGCAGAAACGCATTATCCAAAGTTCACCTTAGAGCACAAACTCATGCAAGTTATATGACCTTTATAGAGTCCTAATAGTTCTCAGCAGGCGAGAAGCTAGTGTACTTCATGATACCTGCAACGAATTTGTATGAAGCGACTATATGCACTATGAAACTTTTGCAGTCACGCGTACAGTTTCTATCTACAGAAGTTAAACCATGGACATTTAGACCGGCCAGATTATAGTTTGAAATTTTCTCATTTTAAATAATATCGTGAATGGTGTTGCAACTGGAAATTATACTATTGAAAGGTAATTGGTTTTATTGGAATATTATTTTGAGGATTCTATTTTATAAGAGTGTTTTGAGGAATCTATATCATAGGAGTATTCTATTTGAGGAGGCTTCTATTTGAGTTGGTTTGAGGCTTCTATTGCATTGAAGTAGTGTTTTGAGGATTCTATTTCATTGGAGTAGTGTTTTGAAGATTCTATTTTATTGGAGCAGTATTTTGAAGATTTTGTTTTGGAGTAATGTTTTAAAGCTCAAGTTTAAGTCATCTGAGGATTTTTTTTTACTAATTTCATTTTAATTTTTTTTTATTCATGCGTATTTTACTATAAGTCATTATTTGACATATAATTGTTTGTCAAATATATGGTAATTCATATTCAAGTACGTTGAAAATACTATCATGTTACCCGTATAGGTCAACTGCAACGTAAATATTGCATATTTTCATGGTCTTCTATTCATTTGTTTGCTTTCATTCAAGGTAGATAAAAATAATTGTATACTTGACATAAAAGTACACGAAGACACCGTATACAAGTCACTCCATGTACACATTAACCCTATAACGAAAGGGCTTCCGTTTTGTAGCTGTGTCAAACCAGGAGAGATGAGGCCAGGTCGAGACAGCTAACATAAGAATGTGCTAGCGGAAGATGTTGTTGTCATAGGGTTTAACGCCATTTTTCAGCACAAGATAGGCTATACATGGCTGCCAGTATTCATGGTGGAGGAAGAAACATGGAAGAACCACCGACCCACGAGAAGCTACTGAAGGCTTTCTCACTTACCCAAGTTATCCTAGTCTATAGATTCGAACTTAAGCAGACAGGTGAGAAGGCAGTGATCGTAACGGTCAGCATTTTCGACCACTGTGTTCCCGCTAGCGGAAGAAACGTGCCACAAGAGGCGGAAATCCTGGGACGTCCTAAGAACGTCAGAGCACGGTAGTCCGTCGCAAGAAAAACATACAATTCACTACACGGTGGAGAAGCCATAGGAAGGCGCACTTACACAATGAAAGAACCATTGGAGGGTGTATCTATGCAGTGATGTAGCCGGTGGGTGGATGGGTGTGTATATCATAAATTGCGCAAATATTGAACATGGGCGCCCGTAGGATTTTTTTTTTTGTTGTAAGGATGACTAGGATTTTGTTTTGTCACTGCTGGCAGAGTTAGTATAAGTACTAATCTGAAACTGAAGCTATTAAAGAGTTTTAAACAAAATCTTGACATATTTTCTGCTTCATTTACATGATTAAACTTATCGGAATATATTTGTTTCTCGGTAACAGTATTAAATGTCATATTTTGGCGAAAAGTACTTAAAAGTATATCGTCCAGTTGTTGGTCTACTGTAATTGTTTTCTCAACTACACTTAACAATCTTAGTGTTGTTCATCGTCGTCGTTGAATAGGGCATCCTCTGTATAATCAATTTATCGTCCGCGATTATTCTCTGGGTAAACTTAATACAGCATCATATCGCGTGATAAAATTATCGTATGCGATTACATCACCGGCGTAAATAACAGGAAGTCATTTTATCAAGTCAATATTATATTTATCAAGTTTGTTATAAAATAACCACGGAGATGATGTATCAGAAAGGTAATATATTGAATTAAAGCGTATTAAATGAAGCAGTAAAAGTGTTAAGGTACAATTATGTCGATATTATTACGCAAGGCAATTCTAATATTCTGCTAACAGATGCAGAACAAATAAACTTAATGATAGCGCAATAATGTTGAAATTTGATAAAAGATATTATAGCGTTTGCTAATGTAAAACTAACGAGTTAGCAGATATATATTTAATCATCGTACCTAAAGATGATCTAAACATTGTATTCGCTTGAAAATGTTGATTTTATTATTCCATCTGCCCAAATTTTACTGCCCTGTAATTAATACTAAAATGTATTGCCGCATCTGTCATTGAAGGAAATTTGATTTCCTCATCTGTTTTAAGATTCAATGAAACGGGTTTTATCAGGCATCTAAAATTGATACCACCACCACCACTTTGTCCTCGTTTTGTATTTTCTTTTGGCTTCACAAGATCCAGATTTTCTAGACGATTGTAGTTTTGATTTGGTTAACGTGGTCCATCACTAAAATTAGGTATAAATCCGTTAAATCTATGGCTACAATAAATGACATGTTTTTGTTCCTCGAACAGATATTTTTTGAGATGACCACTATTTTGTAAATTAGCAATTTCTTTTTCGACTAATACCTTTTTCTGAGGCCTCGTATAAACCAAATTTTGTACGCGGCTGAAATTCATCTTGTAAAGATAGGTTTTCAATGCTATCATCGCTAATAGAATTATTTACTTTATTATTCACTGTCCATCTGGACTGTCCATCTGGAATATCATCACAAAACAAAGTATAAATAAAATCTTTTCTAAACATTTCAACCTTTTCTATATCATCTCCATTTACAATTATTAACATGCCAGCTGGAGTTGATTTAGCTGTTTTGAGTTGATTTGCGAGATTTTGTTAATAACCAAGCAAAGTGCATTTCCAGCATATAAGTTATACATTGTATTAACATAAGCTTCATGTTCCTCTGCTGTCAATCTGTTTCTCAGAATGTCATTTTATTATAAAGATTTCATATCTATTATTGATTTTTTAACTGCGATATCAATTAAATATACACTGATATATATAGCAATGATGAATTAGCGAGAAATTACCAAGAAGAGCATTATAAAATCAAAAAGAATTGTTAGCACATTTTCTGGTTGTGACAAGTTATAAATTTGATAAATATTATTTAGGAAATTTTAACTCCACAAATTTATTTCATTTTTTACACCTATTATATAATAAAAACTTGCAGCACACAAAAGTATCAAATAGTTAAGTATCATATGATTTTATCAAAGTTACATGTGATTGAAAAATATATACATAATATAATTTTTGAAAATAAGTTTCGACAGCGAAATTTCCGAACAATATCTAACAGCTAAATTACTAAACATATTAACTGGAACAAACATGCCACGGTCGCCGATGAAATACATAGGAAAATTAATAAAAAGTTAGATGAATTTACTGCATCGCGATCGGGTTGGAAATATAAAAGGATAAAAGTATTTTATTTCATATTGCGAAATATAACATACTGCGAGGTAGTTCTTTCATTGATCTCCCTAAAATAAGACAAAATGCTTTATAATAGCAGGACAATTGATGACCAACGTTTCCAGTGGGCAATTCTTTCTGCGATCTTTTCAGCAGAAACAATGCTGATTATATTGACAAAGTATTTGCCATATAAAGAGGAACTATATTTTGAGGGAGTAACTTTTCCAGTGGCAGAAAATCGGATACCAAAGTTTCAACCCCCTCCCCAAAATATTTAAGTAAATGTTTACGGAATAGACGATAAAGGAAATATTTACCCAATATATATATGTCAGGGACTGCTACACGAAAGAGTTTTTGTTCATTTTATCAAGGACATTTTCAAGATACATCATTTACATTTCCCGTTGATCGGGAACCAACATATTTAACTGTTACCATTTACCATTTTATATTTAACTACTATGGATTTTTTTACTATATCGCTGGTCGATTTTGAACTTTTCTTTTTACACATATGACCTTCTGTATTGCGCTAAATAGCCTAAAAGTGCTGGTGCGCCGTTAAAATTAAATCAATCAAGGACATTTTAGTTGGATAAAAAACTTCAACTGCTTAGTGTTCGAACAATATGATAAAAATAAAAACAAGAAATATTTGTTATAAGTTCAAAGAATAACTATGCCAAACGAAATAGTTACAATTTAAAGATTATGATCATAAGCTAAATAACCCATTTGATCCTCATGCTGATTTTGAGTCTTTTCTCTGGCGTGCGCAGAAAATAATCCGAATAAAGTACAATAAAAATGTCAATTGTGGAGCAGCTTATAAAATAGTTTGTTGTGCTAACTATAATTTTTAGAGTCCAGTAAAGTTATACAGATGTTAAATATGGAGTCCTGCCGTGTGGTTACTAAAAGTGGCCTAGTGGTTAGAGCATCCGCCTCGGACGCGGGAGGTCTTGGTTTCGATCTCCGGCCGAGTCATGCCAAAGACTTAACAAAATTGGTATTAAGAGCTGCCTCGTTTAACGCTCAGAGTTAAGAGGTTAGTGTTGGGACTGGTCGGTCTGGGGTCAGGATAATGTGACTTGGTGGGACATCATGCTACATGTGTACGGCATGCCTCAGTACTAGACATCACCATAAACTGCCACACTGCAAACATCGTAGCGATATGACTGAAAAATTGTTAAAGCTACGTTAAAAATGATAAACACCACCACTAAAAAAGTAATAAACGAAACATAATTTCTAAATAATTATGCAAAGTAGCTCCAATAAAATTAACATCCGAACAATAACTTTTTAGATGTTAATAATTTAAATAATTTTGTTAATTTTAAGTTATTAGTTTATGAATTATTTAATATTTTAATTAATTCTTTTAATAATTTAAAAAATGTAACAATTTTAATGCAGTTAATAGTCATATCTGCGAAAAATCTTTGCCTGAACAAGGTTCCGGTCATCAAGTGCGAGATCACTGTCATCTGAGCGCTCAGTATCGAGCAGAAGCTCATAAGTTGCAATTTAAACTTTAATAAGCCTGATTTTATTCCTCTTATTTTACATAACGTTCGTGCCTATGATGATAAAATTATTGTAGAAACTTTTGGCTACGAGGTAATTAAACTTCAACTAAGATTAAATGATGTAATATGTATTCCAAATAATTTTGAAAAATATGTTGGAATTACACTTGGCATTACATTTCGTGACAGCATGGAATGTATGGCAGTATCACTAGAGAGCTAGGGAAAGGGAGCAGCAGTTTCAATAACTTAGTTTGGTGAAAACTGTCAATCTGACGACAAAGGCTATCTTATGAGCATCTCGACGAATGGAGTAGATTTGATGAAACTTCTCTTCCCGATAAATTTACTCCCAGCTCAAAAATCAGAATATCACAGATGACGATTAGAAATATGCACAAGATAGTTGGAATAAATTAAGTTGTAAAACATTTAGTTATTATCATGATTTATATTTAAAAATATATATATTATTACTAGCAGATGTTTCTGAAAGTTTTCAAGTTTTAAAAATTCTGGTATAGATCCCTGCTGGTATTATTCCGCTCCGGGACTGTCATGGGATGCTCTACTAAAATCAAGTAAAATAGAATTATATCTCATGAGTTGTTTGTTTAATTTTATTGAAAATGTATGAGAGGCTGAATTAGCGTTATAACAAAAATATGCATTTGCTTATTGAGTGCTTGAAAAATTGTTAAAAATTTACCGTCATATTACATTATTTATCTAGATCAAAATAATTTATATTATGCAATGTCAGAACCAATGCTGTGTAGTGGATTTCATTGGTTAACTCCAGATTAAGTTCTTAAAAGAAACTGAAAAACATTTACATGATATTTCAGACTTTGTTGAAGTTGATTTAGATTATCCTAGCTAGTTACATAATCTACATAACGACTACCCATTTTGTGTAGTCGATGATGATCTACATATCGACTACCCATTTTGTGTAGTCGATGATCTACATAACGACTACCCATTTTGCGCAGTCGATGATGATCGATTAGTTGTACTATCACCTGAACAGCGAGCAATGACAACAGCAAAACGTTTGATTGTTAGCAAGTTAGTTCTAAATTTATTAAATAAAAGAAATTACTTGATACATTACGAAAATTTTAAAGCACGCAGTAGATGCTTGACTATTTCTGAGAAAAGTGCATCGCGTACTAAAATTCAATCAGTCGAGGTTTATGGAGGATTATACTAACTTAAATACGAAACGTCGTGCTGTAGCCAAACCTGAATCTGTGATAAACATTTTCAAGTTGATAAACAACAATAGAGAATATTCGAGACTAAAGTTTCGTAGAAATTGTTAAATGATATTAGTTAATGATGATGGTATTGTCAGTGTGAAATTATTGAATGAAAATCGTGTTGCAATAGGACGACAAAAGAGAAATTTCAGGTTAAATAAACAAAATTTATGTTGGTGCAGCCATAATTGATATATCAAAGTGGGTGATGTACGATTTTCACTAAAATTTTACCAATATGCAGCGGTCAGGTTCAGAGTTGCTGTTTTCTGATACAGACTTCGCTAGTTTATAATACAAAATGAGGATGCCCATTGGGATATTTACAATAATAAAGATTTGATTGATTGGATTATCCAGTCAGTAACAGATTTTAAGATAATTAAAAAAAAACACTATTGGAAAAATGAAAGATAAGTTTGTACTAGTTTGAGAATTTGTGGTATTCAGGAAAAAAATGTACACTGTAATGTTAGACGATAATAAACTGACAAAGCAAAAGATATTCGTCATGGGTACGTGTATGGAATTGGATTTTAAAGTAGGATTAACTAATGTCAGCTTTATCAAAACGTAATCAGAACCATGCATCACAAACTCTATAGACAGATGCAATAATAAAACGTGGACTTAGAAATTTTGATGATAAGAGATATTGTAAAGACGGAATTAATAATCCAGCACGTGGTCATTATGTAAGTACTAGCAGTGATATCTTAAATTTTGATGATAAAAGATATTGCAAAGACGGAATTATTAATCCAGCACGTAGTCATTTTGTAAGTACTAGCAGTGATATCTTTAATTTTGTCTAAATTTTAATATATTGTTCGAAAATTTAGCATTAGTCTATGTAGTTAATAGTCAAAGAAACATAACTCTTTCTGTCTCAGTTGTTTTTGAAAGTGAGATAATACGTCTTCCTGCTAGTGTAGACCATTTGTAATTATTGAATATAGCATATAGTGTAGACATATATTTTTGTTTTTATTTTACGTCGTTTGTTAATGCTTTAGCTAATGCAGACTATTTGTCAACTTCTATGCTGTCTGTCTGTAACGTAAAGCTGTGTTCTGATAGTAATTTTAAAACCTTATAACGAGAAATGTTTGTGTATAAGGCTGTACTGACACAGGTGACCGTCATTGATTTTGTTTAGTTCTTGGCCGACGTAGTATTTATTGATTTTCAGACTGCTTGTCTGTAATTTATATATTACCCATGTCTGTACTTTATAATGCTTATGTGATGTAAAGTATCAACTGTATGCCTGTCTGTAATATATAAAGCGTTGTATTAGAACTAGAAGTCTGTCTTCCTTGTAGTTTAAGGCGGAGATTGTCTACCTTGGATTTTAAGGAGACAGCTGTTATTAGCCTTGTATTTTGTTTGTCTTTATTTACTGATAAATGTTTTCTTTGCTATTACTTAAATAAACATTATCTTCGTTGATATAATTTTAAGTTTCTTTGCTCATATATTTTTAAAAATAACAGATAAAAGCAACAAATAGAAAACAATAAACCATGTACTGTATAAGCTACTTTTATACGGTAACGTGTGTGTTTGTGTTTGTGTGTGTGTGTGTGTGTGTGTGTGTGTGTGTGTAAAAGGTGCGAAACGGGAACATCAGTGTTGATACATACCAACGGAGACGTGCTCTTGTAATGTTGGCTTAAATGGAATATCAAGACCTTACTTAATGATACAACACTTACAATAAGCGTATCTGTTTTGTCAGTATTTTTGCAGATCATGCTATATACAGCAATACACACGCCACACTCGTCTCAAAACCTCTTGTGCATCAGTAGGAAAACTGCGTCCTTATGTACGAGTTACAAAATGTACACTGTCGGCTTGCAGACTTTGCTTCCAAATTAAAAATTCAGTTGCCTGCCTACCTAACAACTGCATTGTTTCTTCTTTTTTACATTTCCATGTCGTAGCACAGGTACTTAAATACTGCACATGGAATCACACAATCAGTCCACACAATTCGATTTTAATAGGTAATATTTGACTCCAATGAAACTGCGGCTCTGACCTAACCTCTCTAAAATTAAACCAAGACGCCATTAAAAAAATATTGGTGTGTTATCACGCATTAGCTTATTACCAAAGTTAAAAATGTGTTTTACTGTGGGACATTTTAAATTCTAAACCGTATTTTTTTAATAAAATTAATTTACCTTTAGATTGGCATGCATATCTTGGATTATTTCATTGCAGAAAAGGGACACATCCACTGTATTCATATTTGTGTCCACGTTCAGAGGAGAACGATTGTGATATGCATATAGAAAATGCGATGTAAACTAGACCTTTATCGGTCATACTTTGTTAAAATAAAAATGTCCACGTATTGATGATAAAAAATCAAATGTTCCCGTTGTATAGGTTATACAAGAATGTGTGTGTGTAATATCAAATGTTTAATTCTATTACATTTCCTTTTTGGTCAATACTGTTCAAGGACATATGTGCATGAAATTTGTCTTTGTAGCGAGACAAATTAAACTCTACATTATGGCGCTATAATTCTAGAAGTGTCAACGTGAAGTGTCTTGTGACAATACGCCAGCAAAGGAACTTGTTTGTTCAAAGCTATGCTCAACACACGCACACACCCTTCTTTTCCTGACCGTCAACTAAAGACACATATGTATGCCAAGGCAAATTGACGTCAACAGAGCATGTGACGTTGGCAGCCAATTGTACAATTTGTACAAAAACAACGTACATTTCATTAATTATAAGAATAAAATTACATGCAATGAAAATTCTTGAAATATTTAATCCTGACAAAGTGCTTATGCTAAAGGCAACAATCTTGGAATGAAATTCTAAGTGCATTTCATAATGTTAGTTGTTTCCGGATAAAGGCAAGATATTTCCGTATATATTTACGGTAATCGTGATAAAGGCAAGAAATTTCCATATATGTTTAGTGTTTAGTTATACGTTCGTGCTAACATCCTTTGACATGACATTATTTCCTTTTTCTCAAAGGTAAGACGTGCTGCAAAAGAGCAACTTTTCATACCTGCCTTGAAAATTGCAGAAGACGCTATTCTGGAAAGTTCGGGACCAGATACAGTCTCTCTTCCAAAGAAGGCGCTTTTGAAAAAAGTTGCTAACAAAACAAGAGCGAAGCTACGTCCAGAAGAGCCAAGAACGTTGGACT